GGGGGGGGTGGGGGGTGGCGGGGGGGGGGGGGGGGGGGGGGGAGGGGGGGAGATAAGGAACGGTTACGGAGGGAATAGGGAGGGAGATGGACGGAAAGAGGAACAGCGAAGCGGAATAGGAGCGACCGAGACAGACAAAGCGGAGGAAAAAGATAGGCAAACGTAGGAAAGGAGGAAACCGTGTGACGTTAGAAGACTCTTAGACCATGTACAAGGTGTCCAGAACGGATGGGACCAAACTTGTGTTTGGCAATAAATATAAAAAATATAATAATAATAATAATATAATATATATTCGAGGTTTTTTATTATTACTGGCGCGCGTAATTATGGACTCGAAGTAACTTTTACATCGTCACCGATATATCCAAATGAAAACATAACAAAATATTATAATTCTATTTTCTATTATTTCTAATACAGAAATATGCAAATATGATGTTTCGTTGAGGTTAGTTTTAAATATACGGGACGACTCGGCTGAATGTAAATAAATCATAAGAGTATCTTTAAAAGCTTCTATCTTTTTGATAAAACATTTTCGGACACAAGTTTATACGAATCTTTTTCATTTATTTGACCGCAGCAACTCATTTATTTAACCTTGACATAACTTCGGCAACGTATATCACAAGTTTTGTCCCATTCGTTCGGGGCACCTTGTATATGGTCTAATGGTGGAATAAAATGGAAACGATACGGAGAAACGAAAGTGGGAGAGAGAGAGAGAGAGAGAGAGAGAGAGAGAGAGAGAGAGAGAGAGAGAGAGAGAGAGGAAGGAATATATTGCGGTGGAAGAAAGAAAGATAGCGAGAAATGACGAGTAGGACGATAAAGAGGGAGGACAGAGAGAGTGATCTAGTGACAGGACGATATAGAGAGAGAGCGAAAGAGAGTAAATTGAAAGGAGATGAAAATATAGAAAAGAAAGGGAAAGCTGTGAGACAGCAAGCAAGACGCAACGGGGGAATACGAGGAAAGTGACTGACAGACGAATAAGACACACACACCGAAGAAATGAATAGAAAAGAGATGGAAGATTCGGAAAGTGGGGGAAAGAGTTGACAGCGAAAGCGGGAAGAAGAAGAAACGCCGCGCCGCGCTGCGGTGGAAGGAACAAAGATGGCGGAGGACGCGGAGCGGGACGCAAAAGTGGGAAGAGGGAGGAAGTTAGCGAGGGGAAGGCGGAGAGATCGGGAAAACGAATAGAAAAGAGACAAAAGAGGATAACAGCGGGCTGGGGGAGACGAGAGAGGACAGCGAAATGAGAGCAGGATGAAGAAGCGCCGCGGTAGCAGGAACAGAGACGGCGGACTAGGAGAGGGGGGGGTGAAGGACGCGAAAGGGGGAATAAGAGGAATCGACCGAGAGACAGAGACCGTCCACGATCCTCGGCCGTTCGCGAGTGGGCTCTCATAAAAGTGAAGAGCTACTCTGAGCGAGGATAGAGCTGGAAATGCGACCTTTCCCCCCGTCCCTCCGGCTAGCGAAAATTCGCCTGAGAGCCACTTAATTTTAGTGCGGCTTTACGAGCAACCTTCCACCCGGTTCACCGAAAATGGCGGACGGGACCGCCCCCCCCCGCCGATGCGCGATGCCGGACACGCTCCGATTAGCAATTTTATGAATAAAAGCTGTCCGACGATGCTACGTTTAATAATAACTCGCCGGCGCCGCGGTACGTGCGTACGTATTGCGAATCGGTGGATAAACGTTCGACGAAACCCGAGATAACGCGGCTCGCATGCGGCGTCGGCGACGTCGACGGTGTCTAGACACCGAACAGCGCTTTCAAAAATCTGCGCGGGCGAGGATCGTCGCGCAAGCGCATATTTATTCGGTTATTCGAAACCAACACGATTTTTATGCCAGGTTGAGTCACAGATAACTTTCTTTGACAGACATTTATCTTTTTATTTTATTTATTGTACTTATTTCGAACCATCGACTATTTAGCGAAAGCTAAAACTCGTTTGTCCCGATGACTCACAGAGGTTAGATACGAATGATACAGGGTGTCCCAAAAATGTCTCGCAATCCGGAAATGGCGGGTTCCTCGGATCATTCGAAGCAGCTTCTTCCTTTACAAGAATGTTCTCCGAGGCACCGTTAACGAGTTATTAACAAAAAACAGTGACTAATAAGAATCGAGTACGGCCGACGCGAGGCAGCCCGGCCAACCAGCGCGCGAGGCCCAGTGGCGCTGATTGGCTCGGCCGCTTCGAGCCGCTTGCTGGCGCACGCCTCTCATTGGTCACTATTTGTTCGTTAATAACTCGTTAACGGTGCCTCGGAGAAAATTTTCGTAAAGGAAAAAGTTGCTTCAAATGATCCGAGGAAGCCGCCACTTTCGGATTGCGAGACATTTTTGGAACACCCTGTAGATCCCGCCTAGCTGCATCGAAGGTTATTTATGACTCGGCCAAATACAGAATGCATTAAATTCTCCATAATTGACGCTTAGCTTGTACACAAAAATGGACAATTTGGGAAGAGGAGATACGATTATTATTTCTTAATCGACATTATTCGACATTATTATTATTATATTATTGTCAACAATTATAATAAACGAGCCGCAAGGTTGGAATAATCTTACCAAAATATAATAATAATAATAATAATAATAATAATAATAATGATCTTCCGTTAAATTGTGAATTTTTGTTTCCAAGCTGAACGTCAATTAGGGAGAATTTAGTGAATGCCGTGCGGAGAATCTCGCGCGTTCCGACGAGCAAACGGGCCGGCGAGATGAAGGGAATACCTCGGTCAAATTTCCAGGAACCCCGTCGGTAACCAGCATGATTAGCTGATTGCACGGCGTGTCTGCCCCGCACCCACGCGTCTCCCTGTAATTGCTGAGCAGCTCGAAGGCCTTGCCGAAGGCCTCGGTCAGATTCGCCTGGCCCTCCGTCTTCACCGTGGTGATCGCTTTCTTGAACGTCTCCACGTTCTCCGGCGTCGCCTGGATCAGCGTGTCCTTGAAACAGTCCACCACGTCGGTGGTGCCGTTCGTGTAGCTCAGCACCGTCACGAAATCGTTGTTCGACAGGGTGTCCAGGATCGCGTTTATGGTCGTCTTGGCTGAAAAACGAGAATTCGAGGCTAGAAAACTCGCGCGACCGTGGCGTTTCAAGATTTCAAGGTCACGAAGCTACGTCCCAAAGTTTCTATTAGAGAAGGTGAACGACCTTGGGATCTCTTCGGAAATGATCTTGAACTCTTTCAAACAGAAATTCTTATCGACCGTAAAAATATCGAAGGAACTCGGAGGTCCCATTCGATCAGGTCAAATGACCTTGGTATCGTTGATCTCTATTAAGAAATCTCCAGCCTTGGACAAGTGCATCCCGAACAATGTTAACGAAGCTGTGCGAATCGCGATCACTTTTCTGCAACATTCCGTAAGGTCGTGTTTCATCGGCATTTAATGGTTTTACCGAGGATATCGCATTAACGCGACCAGAAGATCCTGGATACCCGTGCGAAGGTGCAATAGCGTCGGCATACTATCCACCCCTTGAACAATGCGCGCGTAACCTCAGGTTTGCGGTGCGCTCCGAGTATGCATTACACGGCCTAACAGACGGCGACCGCAGCCGTATTCCAGCCGCGATTCCGACGCAGCTGCCTGGGATGTGTCGAATAGAGCAACAGAAGTTTCGGGACTTCGCGTGCGAATCGATCGTCGCGTGCGACCAAGAGCCGCGGACGTCGTCGTGAGACGCGGATCGGTGTTATTCGTTGCGCGAGACGGCGTAACAAATCGGCTCGCCGATCGGTCCGAAATGAATCCGACGATCACGGCCCTTAACGGCGAGCCTGTTGCTACGCTGCGGATCTTCTGTTCCTTACGATCATTCTTTGAACATTTTTATTTACCACAGAGATCCACAGTCGGCTTATGATATAGAAATGGCACCGCTAAATTCAGTGTTATCGTTCTTAGAAACGTAACTCATGTCGACTCAAAGCCTGACAGAACGCTACGCGCGTGGCGTCCCCCACCACCTGCCGCACGGTACCGCGCGACCCCTGTACCATCTACCGCACACGGTGCCTCGCGCCCTCACTACTTGCCGCGCGGTGCTACGCCCCCCCCCCCCCACTACCGCCTGACGCACGACGCTTCGCGCCGTAATGCAGCGCGTCTTTCCGGCCTTTGATGAACAACTTTAACATAAAATATCTCAAAAAGTATAGGCCGTAGGCTACCAAAACCTGGTATCATTGGATTCAGCTTTACAAGCTCTGTCACTGTGCCGAATCTCATCAAAAAGCGAGCATCGATACTGCGGACTTTTGCTCGTAAGTAGCTTGTATTGCGTAACATAAGAGAATATAACAATAATAATAGAATAGCGTGCTATTGTGAATACTGTTTTAGCTCAGAAATATCGAGTGAATCGAAGAAATCGAGGAAATCTAGAAAATCAAGAAAATTGAGAAAAAATCAAGAAAATCGGTCACCGATAGTCTTTCCCATGCCCGCCATGCTGCCGCTGGTGTCCATCAGGATCACCATGTCCTTGCTGCAGGTGGCAGCCTCGATGTACCAGCTGCGCAACCTGCAGTCATAGGTGTCCGCCTCCTCCTCTTCGCCGCCGCCGCCGTCGTCCTCGTCGTCCCCTTCGCTGCCGGCGCTTTCCGCCGTTGGGTCCATTTTCCACTGCATGGCGGGATACTGGCGCAGCATGCCGGTGACGGAGCCGAAATACTGCCACGACAGTGCCGGATCGGACTCGTAGTTCTGACGGAACACCGCGTCGAGGACCTCCGACTGCAGGATGGCCTTGGCAACCGGCGGCGACAGGTCGTACACGTTCGTCGGGACGTGCACCGACGAGAAGCTCGTGTTCACGGGTATGTTGTAGAAATGCGAGTCCGGCGTCAGCTCTATGTCCCTGTGAACCAGTCGTTCGACGTTTCAGATGCTGCAAATGCTGCCCGGATCATGATGGAAGAATTGTTGTTTGGAGGATGCAGGACTTCGTTCGGTTTTTATTATTGACACGGCAGTCTGCGATCAGCGAGGATCTCGAGGACTTGGGAGAGTCTTCGATTGGGGCATCGAGCTTTTAGGGTCTTCTGCAAGGTGTTTGGAACAGGTTATATTAGGTCGTGTCATAAGGAAAGCTAACCTAGAAAAAAGACAAGGAAAGTTAGAGGAATTCAAAGCTATAGCTTGGATGAATTTTTGAGATACGTTCTCGTGAAGCTATTTTTATGCAACTTGGCTTAAATGAAAGCTGGAAGTGACTATTTTAAGACAGGGTAAATTAGATTGCAACGGACTGACGAGATCGTTTTGAAAAATTAAAAGGAATCGACCTTTGACATTATGGGATTTACTAGATTTGAAATGAAAAGTTTAGACGGATTTTAAGATACGATCCCATAAAGCTATTTCTATGGAACTTAGCTTAAATGGAAGCTAGAAGTGTCTATTTTAAGACAGGGTAAATTAGATTGCAACGGACTGCCGAGATCATTTTGAAAAATTAAAAGGAATCGACCTTTGACATTATAGGATTTACAAGATTTGAAAGGAAAAGTTCAGATGGATTCTAAGACAGGTTCCCGTAAAGCTATTTCTATGCAATTTTGCTTAAATAAAAGCTGGAAGTGTCTATTTTAAGACAGGGTAAATTAGATTGCATCGGACTGACGAGATCATTTTGAAAAATTAAAAGGAATCGACCTTTGACATTATGGGATTTACAAGATTTGAAAAGAAAAGTTCAGATGGATTTTAAGACACGTTCTCGTGGAGCTATTTCTATACAACTTGACTCGAATGAAAGCTGGAAGTGTCTATTTTAAGACAGGGTAAATTATATTGCAACGGACTGACGAGATCATTTTGAAAAATGAAAAGGAATCGACCTCTGACATCATGGAGTTTACAGAATTTCAAAGAAAAACTTCAGATGGATTTTAAGATACGTTTTCGTAAAGCTATTTCTATGTAATTAAGCTTAAATGAAAGCTAGAAGTGTCTATTTTATATATATATAAGACAGGGTAGATTAGATTGTAAAGGATTGACGAGATCATTCTGAAAAATTAAGAGGAATCGACCTCTGATATCATAGGGTTTACAAGATTTGAAAGAAAAAGTTTAGATAGATTTTAAGATTACTGTATAGTAATGTCTCCCTAACTGACGCTCAGATTGCGTACAAAAATGGACAGTTTGGGAAGAGGAGATACGATTATTCGGTTCGTTTTTATATTTCTTGACAATTAGTAACTATGAAAACGAACCGCAAGGCTCGAATAATCGCATCTCCTTTCCCAAAATTGTTCATTTTCGTGGACAAGACGAGGGTCAATTAGAGAGACATTACTGTAGATGGTACAAATGTGCGGAGCCGTTAACGCCGCTATCCGTTCGGCTTTAACGTTTTCGAGCAGAGAGGGAATTCGGAGCAGAAGAGAACGCTAGACCTAGTTCGTAGGTCAATCGTTCTAGGAATCGATGCCGAAGACATATCCGAAGCTCCTCAGCCTAATTCCACTCGATATCGCGGTACGAGTGTCACCGAGAACCCGAACGGAACAATGCCGACAAAATTCTCGACCCCCTCGAGCCGCCTTAAACTCGAATCTCCTAATCTTCTCTCGTTCAGATTCTTCTCCGATCCTGAAGTCTCTCTCTTTCAAAATTGCAATCCAGTTGTTACAGGAAATATTGATCTACGTGCAAGTAAATCTATAAAATCTAAAACAATTTATATAAATACATATATATATAGGGTGGCGTAAACGTTAACGTTTCGTTTAAATAACAAATGTCACAGGGACGTTGCGTAATTCGGAAACATAATTTCTAGTACTATTGTGATCAAGTTAACCTAACCTAAATGCAAAACAGTTTCTCCGATCGATAGTCTTTCAGAACACGATCAAGGTCGATAATCGTCGAGTTAGTTTGAAATGTGATATAAAGGGTGTCCCAAAAATGTTCCTGAGGTCATTTGAAGTAACTTTTTCCTTAGCGAAAATGCGATCCGTGGCTTCGTTTACGAGTTATCAACGAAAAACTGTGATCAATCGGAGAGCTAGTGCGGTCGGCGCTTCGCCCTCGCGGCCAATGCCGCGCCGCGCCGACCGTCTGGCGCAGCGGCAGTGGTCGCGAGGGCGGGGCGTCAGCCGCACTCGCTTTCCAATTGGTCACAGTTTTTCGTTGATAACTCGTAAACGAAGCGTCGAAGAAAATTTTCGCAAAGGAAAAAGGTGCTTCAAATGACCTCAGGAACTCTCTTGACCTCTCGAACCCCTCATTTGCTAATTCCGAGCCATATGGCTAATACCCAATGGTTCCCAATGTAATAGACAATTATAACGATTATAACAATTATAAAAATTATAAAATAAGATAAGAGTTTCTGCAGTACCTGTACACCGTAGCGTTTTTCTCCATGTTCTCCGGAAGCTGTGGCGCCCTCTGATCGGGCACGTAGCTGTATTTGCCGGATACGTAGGTGAAATTAGCGTCCGTGTCGGGCTTCCATTCCTCTTCGGCCTTCACGCGGATGCAGGTCACCGCGTCCATCTTTCGTCTCAGCATCCTGCCGACGTTCTCGCTGATTATGCTCACCAATTCCTCCCCGGACTTGTCCTCCACTCGCGTATTCATCGCCTTGTATTTCTGCAATTCATCGGAGGGCCCTGTAGGTATAGTTAGTACGCGCCCACCCTTCGCGCCCACGTTTATCCCAGTTTTGACCCGGATTCCTCGCCGCTTCTTCTTTTGCCACGCGCCGCCGCCGCCACCGCGAAACGTATTATTAATTTCTCGCGGCGAAAACCTTCCATCTTTTCCACCCCCGCGAGACACAATGGTCGCGCTCATCTTTCGCGCCACCCTGTCGCATTGTCCCACGAACAATAAACCGAACGAGGAAAAAAAAAGTTTTCGAGTAATCGGAACTCGAAATACCGGAGCCACGGCGCGGCCGGAATTTTTTTCGAAATATTCCACGACCCTACACGGCCTGCTGATTTTTCATTTTCACCCCTGGCTTGCCAGCATATTTCACTTTCGGGAGAACGGAAGACGACCGAACCCACCCCTTTGCTCCGCGTTCCTCCGCGTTCCTCTCGCAGTCAAGATGATCAGTTGATCACGCGAATGAATTTGAAAATTGTGCCGATAGAATGATTAATTATAAATAAGTAATAATATATATATTATATTATATTTAATTATATTATATTATATATTATATATTATATTATATAACAAGCAAGCCTCAAAAATATTGTCGCAGCATATTCTACAATAATCGCTTTATTAATCGGTGAATTTATTTTGTCGAATAAATGGACGAAACGAAATGAAATTGAAGAGAAATTAATTTTATCGGTAATTAAATTTTTAGGCGATTTTACTGAGTGATTGTCGATGATCGAGTAGAAGTTGCTACGAAAATTTCGAAATTTCCTATCTCGCACGTTTGGCGTGTCTAATTAGGATTAATTATTCAAGTAAAATTTATATACGTATATATACAGGGTGTATTTTTAAAATTATGGTATTCCCGGAAAGTGAGGGGTTCCCGAGATCATTTGAAGCAACTTTTTCCTCAGCGAAAATATTCTACGAGGCTTCGTTCACGAGTTATTAAGGAAAAACAGTGACCAATGAGAGGCGAGCTCGAGTAGGCGCGCGGCGGCCGAGCCAACGAGCGCGCGAAGCCCAGTCCCGCTGATTGGCGCGGGTCGCCGCGCGCCAGCCGAGCTCGCCTCTCATTGGCCACCGTTTTTCGCTAATAACTTGTAAACGAAGCCGCGGATCGCATTCTCGCAAAGGAAAAAGTTGCTTCAAATCACCTCGGGAACCATCCTCTCCCAGATTGCGAGACATTTTCGAGATACCCTGTACAAATAGATTTTCATCGAGCTCCTATTTCCCGCGACCAGACAATTTTCATTTACTTTAAAAATCTGTTTGTAAATATTTTTTTGAAATCGTATTATATGCTGTTTCATTGTCGACGTTCAGCTAAATCAATTTTCAAACAATTCAATTCTCTGTATCCCGAAGAAAATTGGGCAGACAGTTAAAGCTCCGACAACTGCAACTTTCGAGAAAATCGCGTTGCAAGGTTATATTATTTTTAATTTATCATTTATTCATTTTGTTATTTATTAGTTATTTTATTTCATTTTTCTCCCGCGCGGTCGCAGGAGAACAAAGGTCCAATTAATAACAGCGACGCGTTGCAAGCACCGGTTTAAAGAAATTGCAAGGACCAGATCGAAGGTCATTCGATAATCTCGAGAATCGACATTTTTCTCGGCGCTCGACTTGGAACGTGTGGCAACAGCCTATTGTGTTGCGAACCGTGGCCGTTTATTCTATTAATAACGACACCCACGAGTCGCGCAGCGCCGCGATGCAACGCGACTGCATCGTCAAAAAAAAAAAGAAAAACAAAAACAATCGTCTCCTATGAATTTACTAAATTTAAGATACGAAAAATAATATCGATTATATTATATTATATTATATTATATTATATATAATATAATCAATACTATTTTTATATATTATATATTATTATATATTATATTATATTATATTAATATCGACGATAAGAGGACAACTCGAACGAGCGGACGAGCGAAACGGAGACACCGGCGGAAACGTAGGCTCGATCAGGATAGCTGAAACGCGTCGCAGGCGGCATCTGTGCACGAAAGCCGCGCTTAAAAGCACCAACGGTGTTCCCGTGGCGCGTCCGTACCGCGATCCCTCGCGAGATAAATCGCTGGAACTTCGAAAAATATTCCCCCCCTCCACCATCGACCGCGCGTCCCGTCGTCGCTGTTATCGTCACTGAGGCGATCGTTTAAGGCCGGTCGTATATCGACCCAAGATAGGTCGAATTATCTTGAGTCGATATACGACCGGCCTTTCTCCGACGCGCCATTTCTCTTTGTTTCGAAAGTTTTTTCCGCACTTTTATCGCCTCGCTGTCACAGCTAATCGATTAATCTACCCCCGTTGCCGAGCGTTCGCGCAAAAATCTATCGTTATCTATTAACAATATCCTAGTCACGGTGCTAGACCTGTTCGAGATAGAATGTTTGTGCGCAGTTTCGCAATAACCGTGAAAGCTTGCCAATTAAATTAGCCGAAGCGAAGGTACGAAGGTACGTGAAAAAGCTCAGAAAATAACGGTATCTGAAAAGGTTTCATCGTTTGTCTCGAACGATAGATCGATATTCGAGAATTTATTTAAAAAGGATAATGGTTAAAGACGAAGCAAAATTTACTTTGCAACATATACGACGAAATATTCGAGAAAAATCGTGTTAAAGAATGCGATACAAATTTTAAGCGTTCGTTAAGGTTATATATTTCAAGGTTATACGAGAAATGTTGCACAATAACCTAGTTATAACGCAGTCTTTTTTTTGCGGATTGAATTTTTAGCTAAAACTCGAAATTCGCAGAAATATATTGATATTGTTTGGTGTACAGGAACTTTAATTCAGCGAACAAATCGATATAATCGAATCGAAGACCTCTGTTTAACAGTTTGACACTTCTCGATCTTAATTACGATTAAATTCCAAACGCTCTGATTCGGCGAAATTTTCGAGGTTATCAACGCGGCAGCGAAAGTGTTAAAACGCGTCCAACCTATGCAGATCCTCATCCGAGGTTATTCCGTTCGAATTCGATATAATCGAATCGAAGACCTCTGTTTAACAGTTTGACACTTCTTGATCTTAATTATGATTAAATTCCAAACCCTCTAATTCGGCATAATCGAATCGAAAACCTCTGTTTAACAGTTTGACACTTCTCGATCTTAATTACGATTAAATTCTAAACGCTCTAATTCGATGAAATTTTCGAGGTTATCGACGCACCATCGAAAGTGTTAAAACGCGCCCAACCTATGTAAATCCTTATCCGAGGTTATTCCGTTCGAATTGTTCGATCATCGAGCATCCACATTCCACAGACTTCGGCGAAGATCAAACTGCCCCCCCCCTCGCTCCATCGAAATTCCTGAAACTCTTAGAAGTCGCGCCGGTGACTCAATCTCTAGGTGTTAATTCCCCTTTTCTCCGGTTCATTCTCCCGTTTGCCTGCCCCCCACTCCGCGCTACCCTTTAAGTGACAATAATCGCGTGCACGAAGGCGTAACGAAAATAGTTGGCGCGATCAGCCGATACTGACAGAAGGAACGAGAAAGAAGGAGAAAGAGGGGGGGGAGAGAGACGGCGCGATGGTGCGATGATACGCTAATGGTAGAACCGGCACGAATTACGTCGGGGAGCCGCGACGGTACAAGGAAGAAGAAGAAGAAGAATAGTTTTCACTTACGCTTAATAGTTCTTCTGGTCGCGCCACCTTCTCCGCCAGTTTCCATAAGTCGTTCCCCAACTTCTCTGCCCATCGTATCACGCTGCAAACGACAACGATTTCAGTCACGATCGCGATCGGGTGACCACGCCGCCGATCGGATGTCCAGGAATCCCTGGAATTCGTTCAATTGCCCGGCAATTGCGAGGGCCGCGGCTCACGTGTTCGTGGTCCGATCGAATCCGAAGCGTCCGATCGAATTCACGGCGTCCGCTCGATACCGCGAGGATACCCCGCGCGGTGTTAGGTTATGTGGGGCTTTTGGGACGAATTCTTTATACGTTATAATATCGGGTTGGCAACTAAGCAATTGCCGATTTGATCAATGAAATAAAAAATTTTTTTTTACTTAGAACGAAGTGTAAGCTGTAATGTATTTTCCATTTTGTTCGATGACCTTTTGCCATCTCTCTGACAACTTGAAAATTCCACGCTCGTAGAAAGTCTGATCCTTTTCGGCCAAAAACTGAGTTAAGCGAGATTTTACAGCGTCATCGTCGTTAAAAGTTTTACCACGAAGGGAGTTGTCCAGGGATCGAAATAAGTGGTAATCCGATGGCGCGAGATCAGGGCTATATGGCGGGTGTAACATCGATTCCCAACCAATATCCATCAATTTTTGCCGAGTGGACAAAGACGTGCGCGGCCTAGCATTGTCCTGCTGGAAAATGACACCTTTACGATCGACCAATTTTGGTCGCTTTTCCTTGACTGCTACATTCAATTTGTCCAGTTGCTAACATTCACGGATAATAAAAAATAACATAATAATAATAATAATAATAATTTTATAATACAACATTTACGGATATCATAAAAATGGGAGTGAGAGACATCTATAACTGAAATCGGCAATTACTTAGTTGCCAACCCAATAGTATCATTGATCAGCGAGTTTTCTGAAATTCTACGATTGTTAAATATTCTTACTCCTTTGCGTCGTCTTGGAAAACATCGGCAATTATAATTATCTAGAACGTATAAGGTAAAAATAGTAATTGTTATTGCGATCAAGGATGACTGGAACTGTCACTTTTGAATCGCTGAGTGATTCGATCACGTCCGTCCACTGTCACGGTGGATTTTTCACGGTGATCCGTAATTTTTCGTGAATGTACCTTTCATTGGTGAAGACTACAGGGTGTCCCAAAAACGTCTCGCAATCCGGAAATGGCGGGTTGATCGGATTATTTGAAGCAGCTTCTTCCTTCACAAAAATGTTCTCCGAGGCACCGTTAACGAGTTATTAACGGCCGACGCGATCGCGCCATCGCGCCGACGCGAGGCGGCCCAGCCAACCAGCGCGCGAAGCCCAGTTCCGCTCTTTGGCTCGGTCGCCTCGCGCCAGCTGAGCTCGCCTCTCATTGGTCACTGTTTTTCGTTGATAACTCGTTAACGGTGCCTCGGAGAAAATTTTTGTAAAGGAAAAAGTAGCTTCGTATGACCCGAGGAACCCGACACTTTCGTATTGCGAGACATTTTTGGGACGTCCTGTATATTGTTGAATATATTATAGAATATATACTGTTGGATATATTATTGCATATAATATATTTTTATATTATGCATATTGAATTCAATATGCATATAATAACCAGATATTAATGTAACAAATAAATGCATCGATTTCTGGCTTTGAACTTCAAGTTGATATTTTAACAGTAATTTGGTATAATCGTCAAGAATTTCGGCATGGTTTCAAAAACCATATACATACTACGTTCATTGATATTTCGCGGTACAGGACTTTTTCGATCTCACGCTTCGGATCTTCGACTTTTGGTCTATGGAACGAAGAAGATGGACCGTGCGTCACGCGGGAATCGGAAATTGGCGCTGGTCCAAGCGAGAACTAAATTCGACGGAGTATGCGACTCTGCGTTTCGCCGGTCGGGTAAACAAAAACAGTGTCTGGCGTAGATCTTCTGATAACGAGATCGATATGCGATTCGTCGAACTCGTTCCAGGAAGTTCCTTACTGCGAAAACATAGACTAAAACTATCGCTAGCGAAAAGTATTCGAACACCTTTCAAACATACAACAACCTTTTTGATGGACTTTACTCGGCTAAATTAATTTTCTAGGCTTAATTATTCGTTATTATTTATTCATTATCTTTCAAATGTTATAGGCTAGTTTACTGTACAATTACTGATATAGTATACTAATATACTATACTAATATAATATACTAATATACTATACTAATATACTAATTACGTCACGGTTAAATTACAATTTCGGGTCCGAAAAGTTAGTAAATATTCTTCAGACGTTCTAAAGTAAAGGTGAACAGCATTTTTTCTTAAAAATATCACTGTTACGTAGTAAAAAAAAATCCGGAAAGTTCTCGCTTCGTGATTTGTTCAATACTTCGAACGCGGCTCGAGTCCGTCCCGACCATCTGTCAAAGCCTCGTGCTGCGGGCTCTGGAACTTCGCGCCGTCACCTCTCATTGGTCAGTGTTTTCCATTAATAACTCGTAAACAAAGCCGCAGATCGCATTTTCACAAAGGAAAAAGTTACTTCAAATGACCTCAGCTACCCCTCATTTTCGGCTGTTAAAATAATTGTGGAACACCCTGTATACTAGTATACTAATACTATACTAATATACTAATATACTAATACTATACTAATATACTAATACTATACTAATGTACTAATTCTATACTAATATACTAATACTATACTAATATACTAACACTATACTAATATACTAATACTATACTAATATACTAACACTATACTAATATACTAATACTATACTAATATACTAATATACTAAATTACACTAACATATTTTCCGAGATATTTCCCGCAGATTTATCGATCTTTCCATCGTTCCTAATTGAACAGCAATATACCCGATTCAGTTGCCGGAAATTGAGCGATCAAGACAGTAAACGATTCCACTATTCCGAGTCAAAATCGACACGGTACGAAGCCCTATTCCTTTCGCGAGAGTACACAGTATAATCTGACAGTGGTCCTAGCACGACTCGAGTCTCCGCATACACCTAGTCGTGACGCGGGGAAGGGTAGGGGGCGTGGCGCGTGTCCCGCGTACACGAAAGCATAGAGCAACCGCCCGAGAGTTTTGTTCTCAGATGGACACCCGCCTTTAAGCGCAACCACGCGCACCGAACGAATGTCGCGTACAGTGCGAAATTGCGATTACCGCACGCGCGCGGCGCTGGTGGTGCACCTGTTAAATTGGTCGAGAACGATCGGCCCTTCGGTCGGTCGAAAAATGCAGCCACGCGAGAGAAATATTGTAGACGTATTTCGAGACGAATTTGGTAATATTAAGAATATATATATTCTGAATAAGAAAGCGGTGAAAATTCGGCGAAAATTACGATCGAAATATTCATAGAGAAGCAAGCTAAGAAATCAGTGATTTCGTTGATTGAAGCAATTAAGAATACGTCGTCGTTCGGCACTGGACAGGTTAATATTTCCGCGAAGCTGTGACTATTGCGTCGAGAGGGAGAGAGAGAGAGAGAGAATGCTAGAAAATAGGAGCGGCGTTGTTACTCACATTTGCGTGTCCCTGCCGAAGCAGCCGGCATAATGGAAGCAGAGGGCCAGGAGGATCAGGCACCGGTAGATTCCCGGCGTCATTTTCGGCGGTGCCGGTAGCGTTCTATTTGCCAGCAGCGTCGGGATAGCGTCCGTCGCATCGTCTCATTATGGGCTTCCGTGGAAAGCCGGCGGCGCAACCACGCCGTTTTCACCTTTCAGCTTCTGAACTGGCGGTGCCGCGTTCCTGGTCTTTTCCACGGGGCCGGCGAGATGGCCCGATTATTTTTGGTACAGGAACCGAACCCCCTTCGCGCGCCGTCCCGTGAGCCGACGAATCACGTGACCCGGCTCGCGTGGTCCTGTGTATTTATAAAATCGCGCCGGCTCTCTCTCTTCGCCCCCCACTCTCACTCTCTCTCGCTCTATCCGCCTGAACGGAGACCCGTTCGAGACGGCACCGAGCAGCCCGCACGCATCGGGAAACGTCACGTCTCGAATTTTCCCATGGGTTCGCGGCGGCTCCGTTGTTACGCAACGCCAAAAATCGAAGTAGGGAAGCTCGAAATCATGGTCGAAAACGTCGATCATGCGAACCACGGATTTTGTTGAAAATATCTGCGTAAAGATTTTCGTCGTCGCCGATCACTGGATTTTATGCATTTATGGCAAAATTATGTATAATAAATAATATATTATTATATATATATATATATATATATATTATTATTTATAATAATATATTATTATGTATAATAATAATGCTGTTTGAGAAAAAAGCTGTCGAAGCATTATCGAAGCTTTTTGATAATCTTGTTAGGCTATTTTCAACTTATCGAAATTATTCGGAGGTTTATTTTTATTTATCATTTCTGTTGCCTGCAATCATCTTGGAAAATTTTTATTTTGCATCCGACATATTCACAAAATACGAGAAGCAGATTTTTTTGTAAAATCATCAGATACGAGCATGCGTTTTAATATTAATTATTGAGGCAATTACTTTATAGAGCGATCTGATAAAATATTCATTTGTTGCATCAGTCACTGTTGTCAGAGTTGTCTAAAAAAGGAAAAAAGAGGTTATGTCAAGGTTATGTCATGAAGCGATGTCTGAAGCGTAAACCGAGGTACAAAGAAGAAGACGAAGAAGAAGAAATCTTGGAACTTTCAGCCACTGCTGTCAGAGTTGTCTAAAAAAGGAAAAAAAATAGAGGTTATTGTTCCCCGTGCATTTCACCATCTAGAGAAACAACAATTTTTCAGATCATACGAACATCTCGAAATTCGAATTTGGCCGCCATTTCGGGTAAAATCGACCGCTCCGCGACGAACGTCCGAGCAAAACGTTCATCGTGTCGTTCGCGCGAGGCAACACGCGTCGCTCGGTTTTCGTGCACGCCAAGGGGATTCGGCGTTTCGCGCGCAGACACCGTGCGAGAGCCGGAAGTCTCGCTCATCGGTTTCGCCTCGGGGAAACGGTCTTCGGAGATCGAGTGGATCGCACGCGTGGAAAACGTCCCGGCGGCGTGGCGGCGGCGGGGATGCCACCGGCCACGGTCGGCGAAGCGTTTTGAATTACGAGACGAAAGAAACGGTCGAAACGTGAGCGCGAAGATAAGATTTCGCGGAGTCCGCAAGAAAACTCGGGCCGCGAGCGATAATCGCCTCTTCCTCGCCGGCGCGGTGGCGGTGTTGCGTAACGCCGAAAACTCGCGTGGCCGTTCTGGCTTCTGCTCCGTCCTATTCTACTTGGTTTCTCCAACGCTCTATTAACGAATCGCCGCCGCAACGCGGCGCAACGTGTAACGAGCGTAGATGGGCGTACCGGACTAAATTCATAACTTCTAAACTGACTCGTTTTCGACCTGAGGTGCCTAATATTCTTTTGAAGGGGATACAAGGATGCGTCGATTTGTGGACGGAGAACACGATTTCATCGATAAAATATTAAGATTCGCTTAACTTTTCTGTGAAAATTTTTATTTTAATTAAAATGAACCGATAATAGTAATGAAAATAAAATAAACCGATAATAATAATGAAAATAAAATAAACCGATAATAATAATGAAAATAAAATACACCGATGATAATAATAAAAATAAAATAATAATGATAATGATAAAAATAAAATAAACCGATGAAGAAGTTTTCCAAACAAAAGTTAGTGACAATAAATTGCGATCGAAAAAATTGGTAAACAACTTTTAGTATGATAAAAATATATATTATTATATATTTGTTATATATGATATATAATAACAAATATAATAATAAATATAATATAAATAATATATAATAATAATAAATATAATATATGTAATATATAATAACAAATATAATATATATATATAAAATATAACAATAAATATAATATATATAATAAACAATAATAAATATAATATATACAATATATAATGCTAATATATAATAATATGCTGGTCCCACGATTGCTTAATAAACAAAAATGCCTCCGGAGGCATCGTCGACGGCGTGCTTGACGGTAAGGTCCGCGGTCCGACGATTAAAAGGTGTACAGTTTCACGCAGGAAGTTGTTCGAAGAACGAAGAACGAAAACGACGACGACGACGACAACTCTCCATTATAAAATCGATCTTCGAAACACCTCCTGTGTAATTGTCCATTAGTCGTACGTTCGTCTCTTTGAATCCCGTGTTCCGCGTTGCTGCTCGCTCTCCTTTCCGTTCATAATATTATAATAATTATTATATATATATTAATATATAATATATATTATAATATAATAATAATTAATAATATAATATAATAATATAAATAAAAATAATAAAATAATAAAATAAAAATTATTATCATAATTCATAATTAATTTGGAACGTCCAAAATAACAGGAAACCGATTAGAATAGTACACGCCCCTTCGGAAAACATGTAACTTCTACCTGAAATATTTTTTCGCACGACAAATATTTTATGTATTATTTATAATTTAATTATTATGTATTATTTATTATATTATTTACGAGACTCGCCCTGTATACAGTAGAGGACTCTCTGATTTATTTATTTCGTTTATTTCTTTGTTATCCAGATCCATTATCTAGGCGATAATGTATCCAAATAATACAGCGATTGGATAATATTACGCTTCGATATCAGAGCGTTGTAAAAATAGTTCCCGTAGTTCCCTTCTCATTCATCGATTTTCTTATCGCATCGTCAGCGCGTCGTTTTCAGGATGGTACGATAATAATCGTGCTTCCTGATTCGTTCGAATCTGCGGACGATTTGCAAATTATTATATTATTATATTATTATATTATTGTATTATTATATTACTATATTATTATATTATTATACTATTATATTATTATATTATTACATTACTATATTATTATATATTATTATATTTTTATATTATTACATTATATAATATATATATAGTAATATATAATATAATTAATAATATATAATATTATAATATAATTATATAGTAATATTACTATATTATTATATTACATTATTATATTATGTACACGGCACACGGGTTCTGATCTGGCCGAGCTGCGAATACGAACACGAATATCGTGCTCCAGGGAAGAGTCCGTTATTTTCATTGCACCACGATAATTGCACGTATTTACGCACGCCACGAATTGGAACCATTGTTCGCCGTGGTTCGACCACGTGGCCCGCGGTTACGCCCTCGCGCGAGTCCGACATAAACCGCGATTGCGATTGACTCGTAAGAGCGTCACGCGTTGCCTCGTTCGTCAGGCACGGCCGATTTCAGAACAGAAGTAAGTTTGCAAGTTCGGCGATCTCATTTCGAGTCGCTCGCCCACCCGAAACAATTCGGCCACCGAATCGTCGCGGATTTTACGAAAATTCTCGACGCGCGTGTACTGTCCTAATTGCAGTTCTCGATTAACCTATAAGATAATTCGTGAAACCTGAGCAAGCTGTAAGCTTATTAATATTCATTGAATTGATGAATCGTCCGGTTTCATTTTTGATCCAGATAATTAATTAAAATATAAATAAACTATAAACTTATAGACACATACCTCTGAACTATTCTTTTTAAATCGGTTTCATTTTTCATTCAATTTCCTTTTAACCTTCGACCAGTGGCGTACGGCAATTTGACGTCATATCACGCTGCAAAACAGCTGTAAACAATTCGCTCACCGCTAGGAGGTTAAGGAAAATTGAACTGTCGAATAGAATGATTGTTTATTAACCATTGAATATTGAACAAAAGGAGAGGAATTTGCGAATTGTTCTAGCAACAGAATTATTGTTTATTAATTATTAATTATTGAACAAAAGGGGAGAAATTTACGAATTGTTCTAGAAGTAGAATTATTGTTTATCAACCATTATTTATTAAACAAAAGGGAGAACTTTACGAATTGTTCTAGAAGCAGAATTATTGTTTATTAACCATTAATTATTGAACAAAAGGGAGGACTTTACGAATTGTTCTAGGAGCGTAATTATTGTTTATTAACCATTAATTATTAAATAAAAGAGAATTGAATATCTCCGAGTCACGTTTTCATCAAATGTCTCATCGTTAAAGCAGCGATCGATTAGTTCACGATCCGTGAGATTCGAGAAGACCGAAAGAATAATCGAGCACTCTGATTTTCGTTAACCGTAAATTTTCGTTAACTCTCCCACGAAACTGTCCTTCGCCCCTCGGAATCGCGAGCTCGCTGAAACCCGGCGAATCCGACAATTTTTACGTGCCATTTTGAAATCGACGGTGCAATCGAACGGCTTCGCGGAACTCGTAACCCGGAATCCACTCTCCCGGTCGCAAATCACCGCGGAGAATTGCTCCACGCGGTTCCGAACACGCTTCCAGATAAACTTCCTTTAATTTCGCTCGCCTGAAAAAAGAGGCAGCTATCTGCGTCACGCGTGGAAACCGCGGTCGGAGAGAGAGAGAGAGAGAGAGAGAGAGAGAGAGAGAAGACAATTTGAGACAGAAACTAGAAATTTTGAGAGAGAGAGAAAATAGAAAATCTAAGAGAGAGAGAGAATAGGAAATTCGGGAGAGAGTGAGAGAGAGAGAGTGAGAGAGAGAGAGAGAGAGAGAGAGAAAGAGTAGGAAATTCGGGAGAGAGTAAGAGAGAGAGAGAGAATAGAAAATCTGAGAGAGAGAGAGAGAATGGGAAATTTGGGGGAGAGAGAGAGAGGGAGAGGGAGAGGGAGAGAGAGAGAGGGAGAGAGAGAAAATAGAAAATCTAAGAGAGAGTGAGAGAGAGGGAGAGAGAGAGAGAGAGAATAGAAAATCTGAGAGAGAGAGAATGGGAAATTTGGGAGAGAGAGAGAGGGAGAGAGAGAGAGAGAGAGAGAGAGAATATAAAATCTGAGAGAGAAAAGCTCGAATTTTAGTTCGCAAAGGGCCCAATCAAACACGCTTCTGTCGCGACAAAAAAGAAAATATCCCAAAATCAAGAAAAAAATGAAAATCTATTTCCAATACATGAAAAGAAGCTGGCCGCTTTATCCAGTAAAATACTATTCCACACAATTATTATATTATATTATTATATTATATTGGAGAACGCGGTGGGGTTACAACGCGGACACTTATCCTAAAAACAGTGAAATTCTTCGCTAAATCTTAACGACGGTGCGACGAGGAGTTGTTTCGTAAACCACCGTGGGATGCGACGACGACAACGACAACGTCAACGACAACGTCGACGACGCGAACGCGGCGGTGTCCGCGGTGTCTCTCAGAGGAGTCCGCGGCTCGAGCATCGGCAAGAGAATGACGGGGGAAACAAAGCGGAATCATTATTAGCGGTACGTGTCGAAAAGGTGTTCTCACGGGGAACGTAGAACTCGGTGGGGAACAGCTGGTGGTCTCTATAGGGATTGATATTGATTCGGAGCACGCGGAGAGCCGGTGTTGCCGGGCAGTCACGGGCCAGGCTCACGTCGGACAGGAGGCCAGCCTCAAATGCCTCCCGAGTGCGAGGAAGTCGAGGACCGCGTCATGCCGGAGAAGATATCCTGCATCGACGGCCGGATCAAGGATCATCTGCGGTTCGCGGCCGCCACCACCCTGTGCGGTGCGTTGTGCAACCAAATAATTACCGCGTTCGGTTCGGGGGGACACGAAAAATAATTCTCGCCCGGTTCCGCTCCGTTTCTCCGTGCCACCTGTCCCCGGACCGTGGGCACTTTCCGCGCCGGCAACACGTGTGCAGTCGACATCCTTCCGTCGCGCCGGTCGCTCCGAGGATCGTGTGGCCCCCCAGTGTCCGTCCGTTCCGTTTGTCCTTTCGGCCGTTGCCGGCAGCAGCGACGATTTCGCTCGCCGCGGCAAGGCAATCGATCTCGCCCGCCGATTCGATCGATCGTTCTACAGTGGTGGTGTGCACAGTTACAGCATTTACACATCGCGCTACTATGCGTATTCGACGCGATACCATGTATATATTCGTGTATTCCGATTGTCCGTCGTCTCCGACATAGAAACGTGCTCTTTTTGGTTATGTACAATTTCCTTCTTCTCGAACATGCCAGGACGAGAAACAGATCGTCCGCGGTGCAGCGGACGATCATAACCTCGCGGTAACTTTCACATTCTTACGTTCGAACGAAAAAAGCCGATGAAAAATGAAGCTACGTGTAGATAAACAACGATGCTGATCTGTATACATCCGTGTCGGGGACAAGAGACAGAGAATAATAAAGAATACACTAATAGAACGTATCGTCGAGAGTGTTTGTTCAAATATCGCTAAATGCGATACGTTGACTCTATAATCGTTCGCATTGTTCGATGGACATCCGTGAGAAGATTCTGGCAAATATTTGTGGTCGCGGAGAATATAATGAGGATCGTCGGACGTCATTCGAGTAAAGTTTGTAACAATGTTTAAATAGATCATGGACAACGCTCTGATCCCGAAAAGCGTGAGTAAGTAGAATTTCGTCGGATCGGAACGGCCGGCCGTAAAATGATTGCCCTTAAAAAGTACGTGGTTATCCGTACGTTTGTAACCGAAACCAATTAAGAGCGGCCGCGCGGCCCGACCACGCACGGTCGTAACGTGCGTCGTCGCCGAAGTGGCGTCCGAGTGCGCGACGCGGCCCAGGCAACACTGCGCCGCGCGCGTCCCGCGGCACGCCGCGCGCGTCGTTCGGTAACATCGTGCGACCTGCAGGGACGACGACGACGACGCCGCGTTCTCGGTGCCGTCTCATCGTGCCGCCGCGAACTTGCGCAACCTCTCGCGCGCGCTGTCATCAAATAGAGAGACGGACGGACGGACGGACGGACGGACCGCTGCGCCGGGTGCTTCGACGCGAAATCAAAATTGTCCGCGTTAATTGCAAGGAACGGAGAACCAAGTAGCAACTTCATTCTCCGTTTGACCGTTTCGTATAAATTTGAATAGCGACACGCTGGTCGACGGTCGCAAAAATTACTCGTCACTTTTTCACGTCGATTTTTCATGTCGTGACTATGTAGCCGATTCTGCATGTATCGAAATGCATCGGAATCGGCAGTACGGTCGTCGAAACGTCGTGCGCGGCCGACAATGAGGCGAGACTAATTTTTATTTACCGTCGGTCGTAACGATATTCCGCTATCCGAACGGAATATTATCTAATCGGCGCGTTATCGCGTTATCGCGCCTAATTGGGGTCGAAAATGCTGTTTTTTAAACAATTAGACTGTTTCGGTAGCGACAAATTGAGAAAAATGAGTAATATATAATAATATAAAATAGATAATATATAATAATTATAATATATAAATTCGTATAGGATAAGGATATAAGAACCCGAATTTATAATATATATATCCTATTCGAATTTATATATTATAATTATTAATATTGTTCCTACTGCAATATACACGGTGCCCCGAATATAAGTGGGCAACTATGGTGCTCTGAATAATTATCAACTCGAAGCTACTTTTACGTTTTTTCTGACGTTCAAATGGAAACCAGAAAGTGGCTGCATGTTACTATTTTCTATTATTTCTAATATAAATTACATTAATATGGATTAATATAGATTAATTAATATAGATATTATTGTAATATTAATTTTATATTAATGCAATAATATCTAATATATATTATTATAATATATAATATTTATAATACAAACTAATATTATATTAATTTTATATTAATGCAATAATATGTAATATATATTATTGTAATATATATTTATAATATAAATTAATATTATATTAATGTTATATTAACATAATATTAACAGTGATAAAATATCACTAAAAAAACTGTAAACGTTACATAATTATTGCCACTGCTAAAAATTAAACTTTATTCGGCCTTCGGCAAACAGGACAGTCAAAAGTTCGCCGTAATTACGGCTCGCGTATTTCCAAACGTATATCGCCACGTCTTGTTTTGTTACTCGAATTTTCGAAGGATCTCGGTGTGTCCGATCTTCGCGCCGGATTGTTTATCTCGTTCCGTGCGATTATCGCGAGAGACAAAAAAAGCTCGAACGGAGAGGTCCTCGCCCCCCCCCCGCCCCGATAACTAAAAGTTAAACTTCCTCGGTTCCCGACGAATCCGAGCCGTTTACTTTTTTCGTTCGGAAACAGTTATAACATTCCGCGAGCTTGGCACGTGGGGATGCATTGCAAGAAGCGAATTCCTTCCGGGGAAAAAAGGTGCACGCGGCATGCAGAGAGTCGGTAATCCTACGCGCGACTACTTGGTTCAGCTGTTTTTTGTGTGCTCAACTGATCGGCCGGCCGACTTGCTTTAAAGCCGCTGACCACACAGTTCCGCGCGAAACCGGCCGTTATCGGCAGTTTCGAAGTTTAGCGCCATTATTCAGTTTCATCGTTCAGTCGACGCTGCGTCAGTTTCATGAAATCGTAAGAGATCTCTGCGGAAAACCAATTTGCTTTTTATTTATTTATTTATTCATTTAATTATTTATTTAGCCATTTATTTATTTATTTAACCATTTATTTATTCATTCTTTTATTTATTTATTTAGCCATTTATTTATTTATTTATTCTTTTATTCATTTATTCTGTTATTTATTTATTACTTTATTCATTTATTTTTTTATTTATTTGTTCATCTAAATATACGTACAAAAGCCCATTTTAACAATAAAAAGCAAAAAGATGACGTTAAAATGAATACAGTATCAGCTAGTCCGAGCGTTTCATGTGAACAGTTTACGTAAACTCGTTTCAAATTTTGCGATAACGACCTCAATTATGTCTATATTATCGCTGTTGTCGTTAACAAATCGAATTAACATTTCCATAGTCATTTTTTCTGGACGCGCTACTCCAAACTACAAAAACCGCTTGGAAAAACTCTGCGAAAGATTATTAGAATTAAAAAGACAGATTATTTAGGGAAAATTGAAGGACGAATCGCAATGGCGAATGCTTCGCGATCCAAAAAAGGCCGTCGAATCGGCTGCCAAGAGCTCTGCAGAAAATGTATTTATTTATTAATTTATTTATTTATTGAGACCCCCCAAGTGCCCTACAATCGCTATGAAACCCATCCAACGGCGTTGGAACTAACCCAGCACTGCTTGACGCAAAGGAAACAATACACAGGGTGTCCCAAAATATGCGCAAAATCGGGAAACGACGGCGTTCCTGAGATCATTCGAAGTAACTTCTTCCTCAGCGAGAATGCGATCCGCGGCTTCGTTCGCGAGTTATTAACGAAAAACGGTGACCAATGAGAGGCGAGCTCGGCTGCCGCGAGGCCGGCCGAGCCAATCAGCG